TTGTCCATCTTTGTTGCCATATTTATTACAACATTTCGGCCTTTCAGTATCTGTCGATATTTCTGAGATGAGGTATTATGTACACTATTTACATTATTCGGACTATTGTCCTCATCTTTGTTGCCATATTTATTACAACGTTTCGGCCATTATATGGTGGTTGAAATGTTAAACTGAACCCTTTATTTCGCTCACTGGGGTAGACTGTTCTAGTTCCATGTGCCATGTCTAGTGCCCCACAAGCAGAGCAATAAAGCCATTAAGATGCAGAATTTTACTAAGTTGTTGTACCCCAGTTTGTTGGGATGAACAAAAACAAATTAAAATAAAAGGCAAGTGTATGTTAATATATAATATAATAACTTTTATTCATTTACTGCTTACAACAGCAAGGATTTAAACCATGAATTCCACATGCATGCCAGCTTATCACCATGTTGAATTCAGAAGTGCTGCATTTCAACTAGCAGGATGTAACTCAGTTGCGTTTTGAGTTATTGTCCTTTATGGAGTGAAGAAAGTTAACACCCCTAACATAAGTATTAAAGAATATAAGAAAATATTAAAGAGCAAGAACAACAAAAGAACACAAAGTAACAAGATAATAATTGACAATACATTTAAATTTTTCAAAATCAAACTGGACTACTGATGTAATGGAATAACCTGTCACCCCCATGAGTAACTACACTATAGCTAGTAACTACCTATAAGTATCTGTAAGTCAACGGACTACAGAGACTAGCTGGGATCTTGAGTACGACTCATGCGAGAACTACCAACCTTCCAATAGTAGCACTCACTACTGGATTGACTTGCAACGACCTTGTGCATAACTGTTACCTTTATTCTTATTGTACTGGTTTTTACAATAAACCTTTACTTATTTTATCCACCTTGTTTTTTCATATATATATATATATATATATATATATATATATATATATATATATTTTTATTGAATTTCATGTTCTTAGTTCTTTTTTTTTTTTTTATTCCTCATTTTTCCTTGGGTACTAGTTTGTTCTATTACAAGTCAACATACCCAAGGTTTTTTTCCAATACCACACGTTTTTTATATATATATATATATATATATATATATATAGCTATTTGTCAAGTATATATATTCCTATTAGCACGGAATATAACAACTGCAAAATAGGATGCTAGGAGAGAGTAAGTTGGGGGTGGGGAACTTACCACTTCCCATTTCTCTGTCAACAAACTCGTCAAGAATAATAGGAATTTGTCGATCTGAGAATGGATGTTGGAGTAGTTTTCCATGGAGATGAGTATATCGTTCGTCTTGTGGATGCACAGCCACTGCTACGTCACCCAGCATCGTTTCTGGACGGGTTGTGGAGACCACAATTTCTTCACCTAAGTCAAAGTAAAAAAAAAAAAAAAAAAAATTGTAAAAAATAAATATAGTAAAAAATAAAGTAAAAAAAAAAAAAAAAATAATAAAACAAAGTAAAAAATAAATAAAGTAAAAAATAAATAAAGTAAAAAATAAACAAAGTAAAAAATAAACAAAGTAAAAAATAAATAAAGTAAAGTAAAAAAAAAAAAAAATTAAATTAAAATAAAAATAAAATAAAAATTAAATAAATAAAGCCACTGACAGATCAAACATATTCTGCCATCAAATCAGTGTTCTAAACATTTTTTGTATTCACTCTTTACAGTAGCTCTAAAATAGCTGATACAGGAGTAGAGCCAGTTTACAGGAACATTGCTATTTGCAAGCAGAAAATTAAATCAAGAATGTGAGGAATTGCTTTGACATTACAGTAGCAAGTGCAATTCTCAATATGTGCTCCTCACTTGTGGTCTTATGCCAAACTTAGCTAAGCCGGTAATACTCAGGTATCACCTTAACCAAGAGGTAAGGATGACAGAAGGATTTATTTTTGCAGAAAACATTTTAATCATCGAAGTGAAACATGAAAGAACGGCTATTGTGGTATGACATAGGTAGTCAAGACTCACAGCAAGCTTATGCTTTATTATTGGTTTTGTGCTGTTTGCATAAGTGAATGAAGCATATGACTTGGCATAAAAAAAATAAAAAAAGCAGTCACCCATCTAAGTACTGACCAGGCTCAATGTTGCCTCATACTCCACCCAGGTCCTTTGAACAGAAGAGATTTATCTCTTGTCCTGTGTTTAGGATAGGCAAACCTATCTCCTCCTATTGAGAAAATAAAAAAAAAAGCAAATGATAAACAATAAATCAAACACTGAAATTTGAATTACTATTTATCAGAGTTGTTTTTTTTTTTTTCTTTTCTCAATAGGAGTAGGTAGGTTTGCCTATTGTCTGGTTCACACTCCTTCCTGGTCTTTTGAACAGTAGAGGCTTATCCCTTGCTTCCTGTTTAGTATTGGATTTTCAATTCCTTCTAAGGTCTTTCTTTCATTTCCAGTATCCCCTTGAGTTTTAGTAGCCTTATCACCTTGCATAGGGTGAACGGATTAAAAAAACAAAAACAATAAAAAAAACACTGATGAGATCTGTTATTTCAACATGATATAGCCATAAACCTATACATCTGTTGTACTCATGCAAAGAGTTATAACGAAAAGCAGCAACAACAACAAGATTGAATAAAACCAGTTAAAAAAAAAAAAAAAAACAATAAATCTAGTAATATGGGATTAAAAACAACAACAAATACTAGCTTTTTATGGAAGCTGGAATATTATGGCTAGGATTTATGAAACAAATCCATCCAAACTTTCAATCACTATAGAAATGCACCAAAAATCAGAAAGAAAGGGATTATCAGTGCTCAGGAATGAATGCAAGCATTACTGATAGAACAAGGCTATTATATGTATAATGCAAATGCATTGCTAATGATTTTACTTTAAGAATGCATTAAAAAATTGGAAAAAGGGCATTGTCAGTGGTCAGGAATGAAAGTAAGCATTACCAATGGAATAATTTATTGCTACATTAAAAAAAAAAAAAAAAAAAAAAGCATGGAAAATTAAATTTTAAAAAGAAAAATATCAAAATTAAAAAAAACAACTTTAAAAAATCATCTGTGGATTAAATGAAATCCAAGTATTTCCAATGGCAAATAATTTCAAGTAAGGTACAATTCAAGAAATCCATGACCTGGGATCCAGTGACTCCATTTACACCTACTGTAGGAAGTAAACATTTTACCTGTAGATTGGTTTTCACTTTTTATAACATTAAACGTTTTTCTTACATGTTTTTGGCTTTCATTATAACATTATCAATGAAGGGTTATATTTGAATTCTGCAACCCCATCTTGTGTCAAAGAGATTTTTTGAATCTTTTATAGAGCAAAAAATTCATTGTCATAACATATCAATTTCTATATTGACTATTGTATTAGTATAGTAATAGAGAAGTTTTTAAAATTGAGATTTTCTAGAATTTTGATTTAATTGAAGATAAAGAATAGAAGAATTACCAGATTCAACAACTGGGTATGCAAATGAAGTCAGAATACCAAATTCTACCATTTTTTCATAGCCAGGGACTTTGAGGTATTTCTTTCCTTCTAGTGGTATCATCTCAACCTGAGAAAAAAAAAATATTTTAAAATTATTGGTGATATATATAAAATTTTAGAGGTTAAAAAAAAAGGCAAAAAAGGAAAAGACAAAAAAAAAGAAAACAACAAGGAAAAAGAAAACAACAAAAAACAAACAAAAAAGGAAAAAAAACAAAAAAACAAACAAAAAAAAAAAAAAAAAAAAAAACCAAACAAACAAACAAAGGAAAAAAAAAACAAACAAACAAAACAAAGGAAAAAACCAAAAACAAACAAAGGAAAAAAAAAAACAAAGGAAAAAAAACAAACAAAGGAAAAAAAAAAACAAACAAACAAAAAAAAAAAAAACAAACAAACAAAGGAAAAAAAAAAACAAACAAACAAAGGAAAACAAACAAACAAAGGAAAAAAAAAAACAAACAAACAAAGGAAAAAAAACAAACAAACAAACAAAGGAAAAAAAACAAACAAACAAACAAAGGAAAAAAAACAAACAAAGAAAAAAAAAAAACAAACAAACAAAGGAAAAAAAAATCAAAAAAGATAAAAATTAAGACAAAAAATAAAAAAAATTAAGACAAAAAATAAAAAAAATTAAGACAAAAAATAAAAAAAATTAAGACAAAAAATAAAAAAAATTAAGACAAAAGAAAAAAAATTGAACAAATAAAAATTCCTTTAGCGTTGTTTTAAATATTTGGATGTATTATTGAAAGTATACAATTTTAAAATGTGTTTTAAAACTATAATAAAATCGAAATTATTCATTACATCTAAAGTTTACACTAACCCTCTGTTAGTACTGCCTGTCTTTGTCACAGCATTGGTACTTGAGGTTTTCAAACACTACCATTTAAAATATTATAGTTATATCATTTTGTTTTTAATTTTCTTATATATATATATATATATATATATATATATCATACATTTATAAAGCTCATTAGGTAGGTTATTCAATGTTTTCTTTGGTTACTCTTGCCCTCAATGTCAAGTTGGTGCTAAATTTTCCAAGCCTTCTTACCTCATTATGGCTCTAGAAATTTCAATTGTCTCAGATTCTAAATAAAAAGTATCCTTTTTATTTCCATCTTCCTTAAAACTTCTGCATTGTTTACATGTTCTGAATATGGTATTCTCAGCATCTTTCCACAGAATCACATGTTGTCTCCTCTTCATCTGTGAAAAATTGATCAACATTCACTACTATATAGGAAAATTGATATTACGTTGTGATTCAACATTAGCTTCTTTGTTTCTAATGAAATTTTCCCAACTTAATACTTTTCTTGGCTTTCTGAAAGCATCTTTCCTTTTTCTTTATGTGCATTCAGATATCAACTACAAAGTATCAGTGTTGGATGGCTCATGTCTGGAAAAAAAAAGTGGAATTGAACACCTTCGTTAATGCACACGCCTGAATGATGGTGTGTACTGCACTGAATATTCTACTTCACCATTTATTCTTGAGAGAGAGGGAGCGAGATAGAGAAGGAAGAGAGGAGAGAAGGAAGAGAGCAGAGAAGGAAGAGAGCAGAGAAGGAAGAGAGCAGAGAAGGAAGAGAGCAGAGAAGGAAGAGAGCAGAGAAGGAAGAGAGGAGAGAAGGAAGAGAGGAGAGAAGGAAGAGAGCAGAGAAGGAAGAGAGGAGAGAAGGAAGAGAGCGAGATAGAGAAGGAAGAGAGGAGAGAAGAAGAGAGACTAGGCTTATAGAGAAGGAAGAGAGGAGAGAAGGAAGAGAGCGAGATAGAGAAGGAAGAGAGGAGAGGAAGAGAAGAAGAGAGGAGAGAAGGAAGAGATAGAGAGGAGAAGAGAAGAGATAGAGAGGAAGAGAAGGAAGAGATAGAGAGGAAGAGAAGGGAAGAGATAGAGAGGAAGAGAAGGAAGAGATAGAGAGGAAGAGAAGGAAGAGATAGAGAGGAAGAGAAGGAAGAGATAGAGAGGAAGAGAAGGAAGAGATAGAGAGGAAGAGAAGGAAGAGATAGAGAGGAAGAGAAGGAAGAGAAGGAAGAGATAGAGAAGGAAGAGAAGGAAGAGATAGAGAAGGAAGAGAAGGAAGAGATAGAGAAGGAAGAGAAGGAAGAGATAGAGAAGGAAGAGAAGGAAGAGATAGAGAAGGAAGAGAAGGAAGAGATAGAGAAGGAAGAGAAGGAAGAGATAGAGAAGGAAGAGAAGGAAGAGAAGGAAGAGATAGAGAAGGAAGAGAAGGAAGAGATAGAGAAGGAAGAGAAGGAAGAGATAGAGAAGGAAGAGAAGGAAGAGATAGAGAAGGAAGAGAAGGAAGAGAGGAAGAGAAGGAAGAGAGGAAGAGAGGAAGAGAAGGAAGAGAGGAAGAGAAGGAATAGAGGAAGAGAAGGAAGAGAGGAGAGGAAGAGAAAAAGAATGGACAATGTTCATTACTATAAATGCATAACACTCACCTCAATATCAGATATAGCTGACTGGAGATGACATGACCAGTTTACCAAGCGATTACTTCTGTAGATCAAACCTTCTTCATGGAAACGGACAAAAGCTTCCACAACAGCTTTAGATAATTTCTGAGGAAAAATATTTAATTTATATATATATTTACTACTCACAACTATTGTTTAAAAAAAAAAAAAAAAAAAAAAAAAAAAAATCCATTCACAACACTTCAAAACAGTAATATATATATGGAGTACTCTCCTGTCATTTTTCAATGCATGAGGGAGACCAGAACAGCCAACCTAAACACAATTTGATTATAGTAATAAAGGCTTCAGTCTATATTTCTGAAATGAGGTATTATGTACATTATTCAGACTATTGTCCTCAAGTCCGAATAATGTAAATAATGTACATAATACCTCATCTCAGAAATATAGACAGACTCTGAAGGATCGGTACAGACCCAAAAATATGGAGGATAAATATGGCGACAAAGATGAGGACAATAGTCCAAATAATGTAATAAAGGCTTGTAGAGAACTGATACACATTGTACCACAGTGAAACAGTGTCTGTGGGTGACATATATATATATATATATATATATATATATAGTAATACTTGGATGGCACAACAAGTATATCAAAATAAAATTGGTACCCAAGGAAAAAAAATTAGAAAAAAAAGAAAGACCTAGAAACATCTGAACAGGGCAAAACAAATCGTCCAGTGCCTTAAGTTTTTAGTCAAAAAAAAAAAAAAACAAAACAAAACAAACAAACAAAGCAAGTAATAAAGCTAAAACAGAATGCTCAATATGCTAAGTAGAGATGGGATAAATAAAATAAATCCTAAAGAGCCAGGAACAAACTACTTAGGTTTCACTGCTTCAAGCTGGGATTGAAACCGGGCTGATTTGTCACTGGGTTAGAGATTTTCCCCCCAAGCCATTAGCGCACGGTTGAAAGAAAGAATTTTTACATACTTATTCTGTGAATAATCATGCCAATGACTGACAGTGCTCAATTCAGAAAGAGCTTGTAATATATTTTATATATATATATATATATATATATATATATATATATAAATAAAAAAACACACTGTTAGCCTGACCGAGTTTCATGCACAAAGCAATCTTTCTGTGCCAAATTAAGTTAGTCTGAACTCAGATTGTGTTGTGCATGAAACTCAGTGTCATGCTAACACTGAGGGGGTTTTTTATATATATATATATATATATATATATATTAGTGTGTAAAAAAAAGTACAATTATGGTTACAATATATCTGTAAAAGGACAATATGAATAAAGACGAAACAGAAAACTTTGTTATGGCTTTTTTTTTTTTTTTCCTCACCCCAAGCAAGGTGGGAGTGCCACTAGCATGCAAGGGGTTACAGAGGATTAAGAACAAGAGTAAAGAGGTATATTTGAGGAATGGATACAAAGAAAGACTGGGAATAAGCTCAGGGTGTCAGATGTTTGAAGATTATAGTCATTGGAGAAGCAATCAAGGGGAAGGGAGTTCCACAGATGGGAAGTGCAAGAGAAGAAGCCGTTTGAGTAGAAGAAATGGTTACATTTAACCATTTTGACAGTAAAAGTGTGGGACCGAGATGCCAGTTTAAATTCACGCAGTCCGGGAACCAGCAAAAGTAGCTCGTCGGAACAATTACCATGAAAATACTTTGCAAGATTTGTGAGGATTTCATTTTGCAACAATTGTTTATAAACAAAAGTAAAAAAAATGTTAGATTTTTAAAATTTTTAAATTTAAGAGACACTCATAAATATTCATCAGGTAAACCAAAAAGTCTTGGTAAATTATGGAGAAAGCAAAGTAATTTAATGTCTAATCAATGAAAGTGAGAAAATGTTGTCAGAAAAGTCAAAAAAAAAAAAAAAAAAAAAAAAAAAAAAAAAACTTAACCAGGAGTTAAATAGATCAAACAGATCCAAGTAACGGTAAGAAAGTCAGTCTAAGAATATAAATTAACAAGAGAAACATACCTCATCCATTGTGAAATATTCACGAGACCAATCAAGAGAAGCCCCAAGTCGTCTCATCTGTTCAGAAATCCTGCTGCCTTTTCTTTTAACATGAAACAAGAGAAAAGTCATTTTTTAAATAATTTTTAGATAATTTTCGATGTAAAAAAGGAACAAAACACTTGAATATTTTTTTAACTAGTTTTCTTTTGTAAAAGTTTTAGTATTTTTTGTATAACAAAATATTTTTTAATTTTTTGTTTCATCTGCTAACAAAGGTAGATTGTCTATATTTCTGAGACGAGGTATTATTAGTTAGATCCAGTGACAGGACCCAAAGAGTGCGAGTTCAATACCTGGTTAAGGCAGTGGAGAACTTTCAGAGGGGAATTAACAGGAGATAACTGACATCCATTAGACATGGCACATGGAACTAGAACAGTCTAACCCAGTGAGTGAAATAAAGGGTTCAGTTCCACGGTCCAACCCCCTGAAGAAGGCCGACATTCCAACCCTGGAGCATACAATGGCAACAAAGATGAGGACAATAGTCCGAATAATGTGAATAGTGAAGGATAGATTGTCTTTCAGCAAAAAATCACCATTTTCCTTGCTGTGAAAAGTTTCTTTTCCAGTGCATTCGTTCTTCAAGTTAACTAATTGCTCCCTAAAGAATTATGCATTAAATTTCTTGAGGCCCCAGTAATTCCAAATAAAGAACTTTATTTTCTGTTTAGTTAATTCTACTAACAAAATTGTACAGATCTTATACAGTGAGCCATATTCATGTATTTCTTTTTTTTTTATGATAAGTCCAAAAATTCTTAATTTCAATGTAAATTTGGAAAGACAGGCCATTTTTTTTTTAACATTAATGTACAATGCTAACGTAAATAGCAAAGACTAAAGTTTTTATTATAAAATGTAGAAACCCTTATCACAGCTTCTGAATTTCTTCAATAGGTCTTTTAAAAACTGTACAGAAGGAAATGGTTTGGTTTATTTTACTACACATCAACCTTAATAGGTTATTTAATGCCATAACATTTTTAGGATAGATTTGTATGAATAGAATATGTATCCTTTGTAAGAAATCAGATTGTAGATCATTTCTCTTTGATGCATTTTTGTAAAGCTTTCATCAAGAGACAAATGTATTGTTGGCATTTTTCTTTTCTTTTTCAAAATGTATTGTTGGCATTTTTCTTTTCTTTTTCAAAATGTATTGTTGGCATTTTTCTTTTCTTTTCTTTTTTTTCAAAATGTATTGTTGGCATTTTGTTTTCAAAATTTTTTGGCATTTTTTTTTTTTTTTTTTCAAAATGTATTGTTGGCATTTTTCTTTTCTTTTTCAAAAATGTATTGTTGGCATTTTTTTTTCTTTTTTCAAAAATGTATTGTTGGCATTTTTCTTTTCTTTTCTTTTTTCAAAATGTATTGTTGGCATTTTCTTTTCTTTTCTTTTTCAAAATGTATTGTTGGCATTTTTCTTTTCTTTTCTTTTTCAAAATGTATTGTTGGCATTTTTCTTTTCTTTTTCAAAATGTATTGTTGGCATTTTTCTTTTCTTTTCTTTTTCAAAATGTATTGTTGGCATTTTTCTTTTCTTTTTTTTTCAAAATGTATTGTTGGCATTTTTTTTCTTTTCTTTTCAAAATGTATTGTTGGCATTTTTTTTTTTTTCTTTTCAAAATGTATTGTTGGCATTTTCTTTTCTTTTTTTTTTCAAAATGTATTGTTGGCATTTTTCTTTTCTTTTCAAAATTATTGTTGGCATTTTCTTTTCTTTTTCAAAATGTATTGTTGGCATTTTTCTTTTCTTTTCTTTTTTCAAAATGTATTGTTAGGCATTTTTCTTTTCTTTTCTTTTTTTCAAAATGTATTGTTGGCATTTTTCTTTTCTTTTCTTTTCAAAATGTATTGTTGGCATTTTTTTTTTTTCTTTTTTTTCTTTTCAAAAATGTATTGTTGGCATTTTTCTTTTTTTTCTTTTTTTCTTTTTTTCAAAATGTATTGTTGGCATTTTCTTTTCTTTTCTTTTCAAAATGTTTGTTGGCATTTTCTTTTCTTTTCAAAAATGTATTGTTGGCATTTTTCTTTTCTTTTTCAAAATGTATTGTTGGCATTTTTCTTTTCTTTTTCAAAATGTATTGTTGGCATTTTTCTTTTCTTTTCTTTTTCAAAATGTATTGTTGGCATTTTCTTTTCTTTTCTTTTTCAAAATGTATTGTGGCATTTTTCTTTTTTCTTTTCTTTTTCAAAATGTATTGTTGGCATTTTTCTTTTCTTTTTCAAAATGTATTGTTGGCATTTTTCTTTTCTTTTTCAAAATGTATTGTTGGCATTTTTCTTTTCTTTTTCAAAATGTATTGTTGGCATTTTTCTTTTCTTTTTCAAAATGTATTGTTGGCATTTTTCTTTTCTTTTCTTTTTCAAAATGTATTGTGGCATTTTTCTTTTCTTTTCTTTTTCAAAATGTATTGTTGGCATTTTTCTTTTCTTTTTCAAAATGTATTGTTGGCATTTTTCTTTTCTTTTTCAAAATGTATTGTTGGCATTTTTCTTTTCTTTTCTTTTTCAAAATGTATTGTTGGCATTTTTCTTTTCTTTTCTTTTTCAAAATGTATTGTGGCATTTTTCTTTTCTTTTCTTTTTCAAAATGTATTGTTGGCATTTTTCTTTTCTTTTTCAAAATGTATTGTTGGCATTTTTCTTTTCTTTTTCAAAATGTATTGTTGGCATTTTTCTTTTCTTTTTTTTTTTAAATGTATTGTTGGAAATATTTTTTCTGCTTTTCAAAAATGTATTGATAGTATTTTTACTCTAAAAATCTATTTTTATATTTTCATAGTGCTTCAACTCCAGTTTGAGGGTTAAGTATTTGTCCATAGATGGGACCCTAACAGGTGCTATCACCTCAGGACAGGGTGAACCTGGGAACAACACCGATTAAGAGGTGGTTCAACACTCCTGAAAATCTCTTGATCAGAGGCCTTGCTGCCGGATGTAGTTTATTGTCATACCCAGGATTAGAAGGTAATGGCAACATATCTTGAAGGCCAAGATGCTTCTGTGTCACATGCTGTTTTTGCAGTGAGAAAAATGTCTGTCAGCTGAATGAGGTCAGTAAGCTTCTGTTAACTCATGGTTCAAGTGTAACTGAGGAGAATGAATTGCATAGAAAAATATACTAATCCATTTCCATAGCAAACAATAAAGGGTCCAACAAACTGCTATAAATGCAACTGGCTTTTCCTACAAGGAGACTGGATGTGTGAACATGGATATTTGGACTTTGTGAACTTTTGTTTCACAGCCTAGAAAGTAAACTGCAAATATGCTTTTCTGATTTCCTTAACATTAAAGAAAAAGATGCAATTATCAAGTTTTGCATCAATTGATTGGTATCTTAATGTGCAAAGTCATCTGTTTAGGGCATACTCTCAACCACTTGCTAGAACAAAAATGGTATTGACAGATTTCAAGAAAAATAGATGGACTTACTCATTCTTCCACTTCCAGACTTCTTCCAGAAACTTCTCTCGTCCAATGTCCAATTTTGTTTTCTTCTTCTTCCACAGGTGCTTTTCCACTACCATCTGGGTGGCAATGCCTGCATGGTCAGTGCCAGGAACCCATAGGACTTGATGACCCCGCATACGGTGCCTTGAAAGAAAAAATAATTCTGAATTGCATCCCTTTGAGCCTATTCAGGTTGAGCCGAACTTATTAGGTGAGGTATAAAAGGACAGTATTTATAGATTTACAGATGAAAATTGACAAGATTATTTTTCTGCTGTTGCTATAGAAAATAAATATTTTCCCTAATGTAACTTGATCACTGACCATTGATAATACCTCACCTCCCAATTTCCAATACATTTCTATAGTAAAATGTATCAAAAATAAAATGAAACAAACATTCTATATGTTAAGGAATCCCTTATGAGAAAACAAAAGAGAGAGAGAGAGAGATTTAGTGAGAGAGAGAGAGAGATTTAGTTAGAGAGAGAGAGAGATTTAGTTAGAGAGAGAGAGATTTAGAGAGATTTAGAGAGAGAGAGATTTAGAGAGAGAGAGATTTAGAGAGAGAGAGATTTAGAGAGAGAGAGATATTGATAGAGAGAGAGAGATAGAGAGATAGATAGATAGAGAGAGAGAGAGAGAGATAGAGAGAGAGAGATAGAGAGAGATAGTTAGAGAGAGATAGAGAGATAGATAGTTAGAGAGAGAGATAGAGAGATAGATAGTTAGAGAGAGAGATAGTGAGATAGATAGAGAGAGAGAGAGATAGAGAGAGATAGTTAGAGAGAGAGATAGAGAGATAGTTAGAGAGAGAGATAGAGAGAGATAGTTAGAGAGAGAGATAGAGAGAGATAGTTAGAGAGAGAGATAGAGAGAGATAGTTAGAGAGAGATAGAGAGAGAGAGATAGTTAGAGAGAGATAGAGAGATAGTTAGAGAGAGATAGAGAGAGATAGAGAGATAGTTAGAGAGAGACAGAGAGATAGTTAGAGAGAGACAGAGAGATAGTTAGAGAGAGACAGAGAGAGATAGAGAGATAGTTAGAGAGAGATAGAGAGATAGTTAGAGAGAGAGAGATAGATAGTTAGAGAGAGAGAGATAGATAGTTAGAGAGAGAGAGATAGATAGTTAGAGAGAGAGAGATTTAGTTAGAGAGAGAGATTTAGTTAGAGAGAGAGATATTTAGAGAGAGAGAGAGATTTAGTTAGAGAGAGAGAGATTAGAGAGAGAGAGAGATTTAGTTACGTAGAGTAGAGAGAGAGAGAGAGAGAGAGAGATTTAGGGATAGAGTTAGGGAGAGAGGGACAGACGTAGGAGAGTTAGAGAGAGGGACACACACAGTTAGAGAGAGGGAGAGAGAGAGACACAGAGGGAGTTGGAGAGAGAGAGAGAGAGAGAGGAGAGAGAGAGAGAGGGAGTTAGAGTTAGAGAGAGAGAGACACGTATAGAGAGAGAGAGAGAGACAGAGAGAGAGTTAGAGAGAGAGAGAGTTAGAGAGAGAGAGAGATAGAGTTAGAGAGAGAGACACACACATAGAGTTAGAGAGAGAGAGAGGGATAGAGTTAGAGAGAGAGAGAGAGGTATAGAGTTAGAGAGAGAGAGAGAGGTATAGAGTTAGAGAGAGAGAGAGAGGTATAGAGTTAGAGAGAGAGAGAGGTATAGAGTTAGAGAGAGAGAGAGGGATAGAGTTAGAGAGAGAGAGAGAGACAGGTATAGAGAGAGAGAGAGAGAGAGAGAGATACGAACGAGAGAGAGAGAGGGATAGAGTTAGAGAGAGAGAGGATAGAGTTAGAGAGAGAGAGAGAGAGAGAGAGAGAGAGACAGAGAGAGTTAGAGAGACGAGAGAGATAGGGAGAGAGAGAGAGAGAGGATAGAGAGAGAGAGAGAGAGGTATCTGAGTTAGAGAGAGAGACAGGTATAGAGTTAGAGAGAGAGGGATCGTTAAAGAGAGAGAGACACACGGATAGAGTTAGAGAGAGGGACATAGAGAGTAGGGAGAGAGACAGACAGTTAGAGAGAGAGGGATAGAGTTAGAGAGAGAGAGGGATAGAGTTAGAGAGAGAGAGGGATAGAGTTAGAGAGAGGGATAGAGAGAGAGAGAGGGATAGAGTTAGAGAGAGAGGGATAGAGTTAGAGAGAGAGGGATAGAGTTAGAGAGAGAGGGGGATAGAGTTAGAGAGAGGGGGGATAGGGAGTTAGAGAGAGAGGGGGGATGGAGTTAGAGAGAGATGGGGATAGAGTTAGAGAGAGAGGGGGGATAGAGTTAGAGAGAGAGGGGATAGAGTTGAGAGAGAGGGGGATAGAGTTAGAGAGAGAGAGAGGGGGATAGAGTTAGAGAGAAACAGAAAAATAGAGAGTTGGCGTTTGACAACTACACTGTCATTTTCTGGATGTATATATTTCAAGCTTATCCAGAAAAGCTTTTCTCTCTCTTCCCCCTCTCTTTCTCCCTCCCTCTCTCATTTGAAATTAGATATTATAATTGGTCTCTGTTACATGTCTTCTCTCAGTGTTAGACTTCAGCTATAATATCACATTTATGCATAATGTACAATAAGATGCACATAGTCTTAATTATCTTCAGGCACCAAGCCTAAGACATTAGTAGACTATAATATTTTTTGCAACATAAAGAGTTCCAATTCTCTGTTGTAGTAAAGAACTATTACAACTACTAATAAATTAGGCTTTGTGCCCAGAGATGATGAGAACCATGTTTGTCTAGTTGAACATTATATATATATATATATATATATATAAAAAATAGTTCCAAGCCTTCTCTTGAAACATTTCAGATATGTACAAAAAATACCATTCCAATGGACTTGGAATAATTGAAAGAGAATAAATAAAGGCGACATTTGGATTGGTCAATGCACCCACTAACTTAAGCTAAAATGTACATATTATACAAGAGTAATTATTTTTAATCATTAACTCCAAGCAAGCCACTAAGTTACAAGGGGTCACTGAGTGTGAACGAATGAGAAAAAGCAAAACATGAGAGAGAGAGAGAGAGAGAACAAGAATTAAGACAAGATAACGATTGACATTGATCTTCAAAAATTTAAATGCAAAGTTAACTGGAAAGCAAGAGCCCGGAAGAAAGTGAGAACTGTTAAAAAAGAAACTATTAGCATAGAATTTATAGTTATATCACACAATTTCAGCCATAAAATGATGAGACCTAGCTGCCAATCTCGTACTGTGCTTAATTTCATAAAGTCAAGGTACCAAAGATGAAAGCTCAATAGATCAAGTGCCATAAAAATATTTATAGAAAAAGTACAGTGAATCTATGTTAGAGAGAAGAAAAAGTGACTGAAGCAGAGATGCCAGGTCAGGATTGTTAATATTACAGATTCTTTGGATTTTATCAAGAATCTCTAAATTACATAGCAGAAGCACTAGACCAGATATAGCAGCAATATTCAATGCATGGATAAACTGTAGACTTATAAATATATAAGATAGATTCTGGCAAGAAAAATTATCGAGCATGACACAGTCAACTAAATTTCCTAGCACCAGACATAGTAACCATTTCAATATAATCTTTCCACCTCATGTCAGAAGCTAAGCAATTAGTCACTCTCCTGAAGGTTAGCAGCAGCCATGCTGATGGAAGGCAAAAAAGATTTATATTCTCTGAAAAAAATTGAAAAAGAGCAGTTTCATGAAAAGTTTCATTTTGGAGGTGTTAAAATTAACAAGCCATTCCTTGCCCCAGTTAACAACAGACTGTAGGTCATTTTTTAGATCAGTTGCCAATTTGACCTTATCAAAATGATCAGACTTCCTATTAAAACAGGAGTAAATAGTTATCAGCATATATATATATATATATATATATATATATATATATATATATATATATATAGAGAGAGAGAGATAGATATATATAGAGATATATATAGAGATTATATATCTCTATAGAGAGAGATATAGAGATAGAGAGAGATATAGAGATAGAGAGAGATATAGAGATAGAGAGAGATAGAGAGAGATATAGAGATAGAGAGAGAGAGAGATGATCATTGATCAGGTCAATGACAAAAATTAGGAACAACATTGGTGCAAGGGTAAGTTCCTGAGGGACACCCCACATTAATGCAAAAAGATCTACTTTCATTTTGCAATTTAATAAGAAAGACTGAACCAGTTCAAAAATTCACCCAGAAATAAATTTTAACTTGTGAAGAAGACCAGCATGACATTCAGCTAAAAGCAAAAACCTGGGTAGACAGATGCCAACAGTATCACCGTAAATAAACTTGTCATCTGCAGATGAAAATGTTTTAGAAAATGCTAAATAGAAGATAATTTATTGTCTGCATCATAATAAAAACATCCAACCATGAGTTATCATGTGGTTGCAGGTCAATGTGTTAAAGCCCCATAATTTTCTTAAATTTCTTTCATAAAATTATAACCATATTCATCAAATTTCTTGAGAGGAGAAATTATTGTAAAGAAGATCAGTATGTCAAACCCTGTCAAATGCCTTTGAGATATCCAGAAATACAACCAGAGTTTCACCATTCTTATCTAAAGCTTGATAGGCACTTTCAGCTTATAACTGTTAAGACAGCAGTTGATCAAGGGAAGCCAAAGCCATATTGTTTGTCTGAAAGAAGACCTCGATAGTTCAGATGCTTAACCAATTCTGAGTTGAGAAGAATCTCTTTGCCAAAAAGAGGTAGAAAGCTAACATTCCAATAGAAGGATCAGACAGTTCACTGGAGTTCATAACCTTTACCCCACTGCAGGCGACAATAGTTGCTATAAAATTCTCTCCCCTTCACTGCTCTAGGTGAATTCTGTCGCCTTGAGACGGTTGCTATAAATAAACGCTTGTCAACTGTTATTTCCAATATTTTAAGCTGAAAATCACCTACTATTGCTTTGGAACAAGGATAAACTTCCATTTTCCAATGCCATTTTGAATTCTTCTAGACTACTCTTGTAACATCAATTACACCCACATTAATTTTTTGTAAACAAAAATAGCCACGTCAATATCCAATGAAGCCTTTTATTCAGCAGTTTTTCTTTGATTACAACTCTGATGACGATTTGAAGGCTTTACTCGAGTGGATATTGATGGTGAAGTGGTCAGATGATAAGCACGCTAG